GTTGCTCCTTGACAGCGGCAGTTCCTAAGATTGCCTTCGGTGGTTGGTTCTTGTGCACACGGTTGGCGTCTGGATTACAACCCTCTTTCTCTTCTTCTGACTGGCTCCTCTTCTTCGTGGAGTTACCATGTCGGCGGCTTAGTCTTCTTCTTCATCGGCAACGGTTGCGGATGTTTAACTCCTTTGCCCCTCCACCCTCCCCCCGTCCTCCACCTCATTCCTCTTAATCTCATGATCCCCATATTTGTCTCCTATCTCCTCTCTCGACACTTCCCCTTCTCCCATTTTGGTACGTTAACCAAGGGGCATCTCTCCCCTGATGAGCCAGTATGGCAGGCACTGGCGAAAAGGCCTTTGGGATTGGTCTGCTAACCCTCTTCTTTCAGGTTACGTCGACACGTTGGGGTCACTTGACCAGACTTGGGAGTTCTTCTTCTTCTTCTTTTACTTTTTCTTTTTTTTACCATTTTTGCTATGTCCGTCTTCCAGTGATACCATAAAACATTATTGTTATTTCTAACGCTTTGTGCTGCATGCTTGGCGTTGATGCGTGGTTTGCTTGTTGTCGTTGGAGAGGCTGTCTGGCTCTGTCTGGTCTTCAATAGCTTCCTCGCCGGAGTGATTGCTCCATCGACTTTTCGAGCTTTTGCATGGGTGTTATCACGATCTTCTGCCTATTTCTGGCCACTTTAGGATTTCTTAGCTTCTTAGATTCTCTTGACCATCGTCGTACATCATTTTGTCTGCCTTCTTGGGTTAACGCTTGCTACCCCCGTTCTCACCCAAATTGCCCTAGGTAGCTTAGTATCAATATGAGGCTTTCCCTTTGCTCCCCTTTCGTGCTTTCTATCATCTTCCCCTGCATTTTTTACTTCACTCTAATAATCTCTCTCTTCATACATCCTGACCAGTTTGTATCTCTCCCCCCTCCTCAATGTCCCTCCATGGACCCCTCCACCCCTCCACGCTCTTTGGGCTTCCTTCCTCTTTTCACTCTTGGAGTCATTGCAATGTGACAAACCACTTTGTGTAGCGCGCGACTTTCTTCGCGATTGCAATGAGGGGTCCTAAGCTGGGAAGGTTGAGCCAATTACGGAAGATCGGGATCGGTGGGAAATTGCATCAGTACCCTCGCTTCTTCGTCTTTTGCGTCGATTCTTTTCTGATGGCTGAGTTTGGAATTGGGTGTGTCCCGGGACGGGCGATTGATTGGTCGGGTGGATGGTTGGCGCGCCGACCGAGCGCGTGAATAATGAATGTTGACGTCGCTTCTTTCTTGTTTTGCTGTGAGCAGGGGAGGAACTTTTAGGCGCGGACATCGCGCATGAATTTTCCTTCGTTCTTTTTTAAATTTCTTTTTCAAATTCTTTTTCGAATCTTGTCGATCCCCGATGACTCTCAGAATTTCGGACTTTCTTTCCGGAACTTGTGCTTTTTGTTTTTTCGCATTAGATAGAAATTTAGGAATTTTTGTAATTAGGATTTTCTTTTGCTGCGCGATGCCTTTTTGCTTACACGCTTCTTATGCGGCTGCAACGGAACTCTGATTAGTCGGCACCTTTAATCGGGTGTGTAACTGTAATTTCGGGCTGGCGCCATCGTAACTGTATCTTTCTTCTTGTGCTTCGCCCTTCCCGCCCTTCTCCTCTTTCTTTTGTCGTGTTCTTGGTAGCTGAGGTCTGCATGATCGGAATGATGCGTGGAGAGCGGCTACGTCCCCCACGCCGCGTCCTGGCCTTGCAGACGTAGGCGGGAGGACTAAGCGGGGTGATGGACGCGGATTTGCTGTTTCTTTTATCTTTTCCCCCTCCCTGCTTGTGTATATAAGTTTTGATTTCGGCTCAGGGCGATTTGCCCGTTTCTGTTTTTCGGAATCTGGACTTGGGTTTTTGCTCACACTTGTCTTTGCGATTTCCATCTCAGATGTATTGTGTGTGTGTGTTGCTGAATGAATGGATGAATGGATGTTGTGTCAGTTTGCTGATTCTTATGCCCGATCCTTGCTTTTGTTTCTCGTCTTGATGTACTCATACGAAGGGTAGGAATTTTGCATAATCATCAATGCTGTTTCCATTTTTGCTTCAAGTTATCTTTTGATTGAGCTATTGTGGTTGTTGCATCTTGCATGCTTGAAAAGTACGGAGTGATTAGACGATCGAAGGACTGCTGCCCCGCAAACGCCGTGCGAGGATGCGTGTAAACACGATCCGATCTGTGCATTTATACGTGTCCCCGTGCGTCGATTCGTCAACTCCAGAAAGGACAATTGATTGCAGGAATACCGCTTGATTGGATACGGCCATCCGGGGTCTGCGACGGAGCAATCATCCCGTGCGAACACGCGTAAGCGCAACTCGATTTGCGCGGCCTGCACGTGCTCACACGCAGTGATCGCAATCGGCACAGACCCACCCCCAGGCATCTCGCAGTTCTGCGATGACATAATGACAAGCTCCTAGAGCTCAGAGTCGTTGTCGTACAACCCAGAATACTTCACCCCATGGATAGAAGAAAGCCTCCGATTGAGATTCCCTTGCCTAACGGAAAATCGACTATGTCCTAGGGAGTTTCACTGTGCCACGACCAGCGACCCCCGGTGTTCTGATTTGCCCACTTCAGACCACACCTACTACTTCACCTCCCCCAGATTTGTCGTTATCTCCACTTGCTTCCCTCCTTTCCGTCTTCTTTTTCCGTATCATCAGCTCAGCGTCGTTCCGTGGAAGGCCATAGCCCCATACTAGCCCAACACGCCCTGCAGGAATTGCCGACGACGCGGCGGCCAGAGAACCCCGGCAGCTCGAAGGCCTAACCCGAACGCGCGACGACCGGCGCCCCGTGGCAACTTCCGATGGCCCGACTCATCAGGACCACATCCACCCCGGATGGACCTCTCGACGAACCGCCGCCCTCAACACATATGGATCGCTCGGCCATAAATGACCCACGCAGGCCATCTGCCTTATTACCAGAAGTGGTCCGCCCTCTCTGCCAAATTGCACCCGTGCCCCCAAAAAACTCGGCCACACGAGATCTCAATTCTGACCTGGGACGCCACCCCCAGTGCCCCACTTTCCCAAAATTCCTTGGCACACCCTTTTCCACACTTCCAGGCCCACACTCTACTCAGATCAGGAAGTCGCGTTGGGCGTGAGGTTGGTATCGGAGCCCGACATGTGGCCGGGTTGTAAGGAGTAACGGCGTGATAATTGAGTGATCAGGCTAACCGAGGGCGACCTCGACCCCGGAACGCGCATAGACGCGACCCCGTCATCACCCAAAGTAGATCGGCTAACTGACGGGTAGCCAACATGAACGCTAATCCACAGAATCCGAACCCACAGCAACAGAATGCCAATCAACAACCGAATCGTAATCAACCCGCCCCACGAGCACGGGCTCCGATGACGCCACTTGATCTCTATCTGTTCGACCCTGCACATCATCTTGTTGGAGCATGGCTGGCCACGCTCCAGGCACAACAGTATGACGACAACGAGGCTCAGGTAAATATTCCTGCCCGACTAGGAGGAGACGCTCATCATTGGTTTAATACCTATGTATGGGTAGATCTCCCGACTTTCGAGCGAGACTTTTTTAATCGATTCGACTATGTCCATCCAGAGCAAGCACTTTTCATGATTAAAGATCGAGTGCAAAAACCTTTTGAATCTATCGCGGAATATCGAAACCGATTCTACGGAATGTTTGTGAAAATTGAGCGAGGTGAGCAAGTCGGGAGAGATTTGTTTATTGATGGGCTTCACAGCCGATCGATAAGGGCAAAGCTGCGAAAGCAGTTCTCCCCCATCAATCATACGCTGCAATACTGCAGCAACAGATCATGGCCGCTGCAGAGGAGATGGAACAAAAGTTCGCGGCGAGCTTCCTGGAAGGAGAAGACTATCCTAAGGAAGGGGATTCGTCCGAACTTGCAAGGGCGAAAGCTGAGCTGGCTGTGTTGCAAAACAAGTTCGAAAATATGGGATTTGTATCTGGCCCAGTCACTTAGTATCTGGAACTGATAGCCCCTAAACGACCGGCCTAAAAGTTCCTCCCCTGCTCACAGCAAAACAAGAAAGAAGCGACGTCAACATTCATTATTCACGCGAGTCATTGGGGATCGACAAGATTCGACAAGTTCTGGAAAGAAAGTCCTACTACGCCTGGGGGCGGAGGCCAGTTCTTTGGAACCCCCTGGGCGTTTCGAGGTCGGATCAGATGAGCTCGGAGTAAAGATCGCAACTATAACCATACCATGGCAAGATATCTGCGATGGAATCACCCCGGAAGGACACGTGGCCATCCGCAAGGAAGACGCCCAGATGATGGCCACGGTGTTCTCCTTGCGATCGGACCATTCGTTTATCTCTGCGCCACCACCCGATGTGGCGAAACAAGCACGCACGAAGCAGATCGACGTACGGATCTGGGACCAGCTTTTCGAATTACACGTTCCACAATACGTACCTGATGAGATTCATCGTTTGATTGCGGACATTCTGACGAAATATCTTGGAGCGATTAGCGTAACGGACTCTGACATTGACTTGTCGTTGGTCATTCAACACGAAATTCAGACGGGAAACCATTCGCCAATTCACTGCAAGCCCTACCGATATTCCCTGATAGAACGAAAAAAGGCTCTCGAACGAACTCGGGAGTTCGAAGCAAGCGGTTGGATCGAACCCGCCACTGAACCATGGTCATTTCCAGTAGTGTTAGTACCGAAGAAGAATGGATCAATCCGCATATGCATCGATATCGCAAACTGAATGAGATCACGATTAAAGATGTCTATCCCCTCCCCCGGATTGATGATTTGCTAGATGCAATTGGATGTGCTAATTATTTTAGCAAGTTTGATATTCGACATGGCTTCCATCACATTTTGGTTAAGGAGGAAGATCGGCCGAAGACGGCCTTCGTATTATTTGAAGGCACGTGGCAGTGGGTTCGATGTCCGATGGGAATTTGTAACGCGCCTGCCACGTTTCAGCGAGCGATGAACATGACGTTCCAAAATTTCGTCAACAAGATACGGTTGACTCAGGGAATGATCAACTTCTGCGTGATCGTATACATGGACGATATTCTTGTCTACTCGGAGACCTATCATCGTGACGGACATGCGCAATACATCGAGTGGACATTGGGAGCATTGAGGGACGCTGGATTCAAGATTGCACTCGAGACGAGCGAATTTTTCCTCTCAGAAATTTCGTTCTTGGGGTACGTGGTGACACGTGGAGGGCTGCGATCGGACTCCAGGAAAGTTGCGGCTGTGAAGGAAGCCCTAGTTCCCACGTCGTTGACGCAGGTTCGAGCCTTTTTGGGCCTGGTACCGTACTACTGCGATTTTATCAAAGGGTTTGCGGCGATTGCTCGGCCTCTTACGAATCTGCTTCCGAAGGACCAGCCTCTGCAATGGGACTCTGAGTGCGGACAAGCCTTTGATGCACTCCAAGAGGCCCTGGTCACTGCACCTGTTTTGATCCGACCGGACCCTGCCAAGCAATTTATTCTTATAACGGAATGGCAACCGGAAGCGATCTCCGCCATTTTGGTGCAGAAGGGGAACGATGGTCACGAACACGTCATTGAGTACGCGTCACGAACAGTGCCACACGAACAAAGGAATGATTCAGCACCTCAAGGCGAATGTTATGCAGTAGTCTGGGGAATCCTACACTTCCATCCGTATCTCTACGGACAGAAGTTTCGCCTCGTGACGCATCATGAGCCTCTGCTGGCCTTGAAGAAACTCACTAATTACACCAATTTACACGGGCATGATTGGATGTTGGGCGGTACGTCTATAGGAGTACGACTTCGACATCATCCATCGGAAGACAGAAAGACACAGCAACGCGGACGGACTGACACGTCTGCGTCGGCCCGCTAAAGTACCTAAGGGCGAAGAAATCACTCCGTGGAAGGAGTCAGAACCGACGAACGGACCTAGGTACGGACAAGTGGCAGTTCTCCCACGTGGCAAGAAGCAGACCGGTGGCAATGGGTGACGGAGGTAACCCCACAACCCCTCTTTCTCCCTTCTCCTCCTCATCTTTTCTCTCCCTGCCTGATAAATTTTGTTATTTTTGTGAAGCAATTTCTCGCGTATATTCGGCCTCCATGCGTCCTAACGGGGAAGGCTATGTGGAATGGGTAGATTGTCGGCAGTGTGTCGCACGAGCCCATGGCTCGTGCATCCAATACAGAAATGACAGTAAACCGTGACGGTGCCCCTTGTGTCAAGATCCCGACCGAGGCTTGCTTTTTGGATGCCACGTCAGAAGGATTGGAGAAGACCCGGAAGTTTAGAAGGGCCGAAGTATCGACCGATATCGTTTTGATTGCCACCTTAGTGGGTAACCCCCTCCAGGATTTCACCAAGGAAGATCGGAGGAGGGCTAATGAAAGGGCTCGGGATTATCGATGGGTCGAGGGTAGGTTAGAAAACCGGAAAATGGATGGTAGTGGGATTTGGATGGTTGTACCGCATCAGTTCATGAGGTATGACTGGGTGAGGACAGCGCATGAAGAAACGGCTGCCCATTTTGCCGTACGGATCACGGAGTCGGCAATCGACAAAAATGAGTGGTTTTGGTCCAATATTCGGGACGATGTGAAATTCATCGTCGCAAACTATCAAGTCTGCACTGCTGACAAGGCGCCAATCCAGCCGCCAAGATCGATAGTACCAACGGTAGTTGAGTGGCCGTTTCAAAGGGTGAGTATGGATACTACCGGTATCGTGGTACCCCCTGGTCCGAATAGTTGTGAATATTCAGTCTTGTTGGTATTTGTCTACCATTTTTCGAAATGGATCGAGGCCTACCCATGTCGCACCCGGCAAGCCGCCCAAATCGCGAGGTATGTTAACCGTTTTCTCATGATGCACCAGGATACGGAAGAAATCCTGACCGATAACGGGGCAGAGTTCAAAGGGGAAGTATTAAGGAGTCTGGTCATACACGGTGTCGTTGTGCGGAATATCGTGCCCCACATGTCACAATCTAACGGGCTGGTAGAAAACGCGAATAGGGTGATAAAGACAGCGCTGCGACGAAACATCGTGGCACGAGATCCGAGGCCTTGGCCTGATATCGTCGATCACATCCTAGCGGTCCATCGTGGGACGCCCCACGAATCGACGGGCCTGAGCACCTTCCAATTAAGAACCAATAGCGTCGCTTGCGTTTCAATACCAAGCCTCCCCGACGAATCCACTCTGAACCGACGACCCACGAGAGCCACGGTTCGAGACAAGGCCAAGCGGCACTTAGAGCTAATGGAACGGTCCCTCCCCAGGCTAGCCTGAAAACGCCAGAAAATGACCGAGTTGGCCCACGACCGACAGGTCCGAAGCTATGACGCCCGGAACGGGAACGCAGGTCCACGGCCCCAGTACAAATTGGGGGATATCGTGCAGGTAAGGAAATGTGCTCGTCGGGGTACTAAGCTAGCGCCACGATTCTTCGTGCGATTCCGCGTGATTGAGCTCGGACCGAACGGCGTGAACACCGTGCGGCTTGCGCCTGAGGTCTTCGGCAGACGATCGGCTTGTCCAATCATCTGCCACGTGTCCTACCTACGTCCCCTTTCGTCTTCCCCATCTTTGCCTTCATTTGATTCCTCCTCCACTGCAGAAGAGGACGATGACTGCTTATCGCCCGTCTCTCCTTCTCCTTCCCGTTCCCTCTCTGTTACCTCGTCCCCGTCACCATCGCCATGAGTTTTCTTACGGAGCGAGCTCTCGGCGATCCTCTGCTGGTACCACGGTGTTACATCTCGACGATCCGACAAGTTCATCATCCGCGGCTCAGCTCGGATCTTCGGCGACTTCCGCAATTCTTCTGTACTGAGGGAGGGTACGCAGCCGCTGAGTTTTGATTTGCAGGCAGTCCCCGGGCGGTTGTTTTGGCGGAGGAGGTAGCAGTTCATCGGTGATCAGCTCCTGGAATCAGCCACCTGAGCCACGTGTCTATGGTTGTCGCCTTCAGCGGCGACATCAGCACCGTCAGCCCGCTGCGGCATACGACTATCCGGACAACGCTTCGGCTGTGGGCGCAGCAGTTGGCGTCAGAGTGGAATCGCTGGCTCATGCCCCACGGGGATGATCTTTTCCACATGGACGACATCGACCTCGACGGGATTCGAGCTTTCCAGCACGAGCCGGCGGTGGTTCTCCCTAAACTCATCCCCTTCCAACGTCCTCAATGAACCCATCCCGATCTCCCTTCCCATCCCCAATCTCCACTTTCGACCTCCCTTCCTTCTTTCCCACCTTCAGGCAGTCCGGAGTCCATCCGCATCTCTCCTTTTGTCTGGAATCACTCGTTGTCCCCCTCCTTGATCCCCAGCAGTGGAGGCATTGGCGAGAGCACTTCGCCGAGTTGTTGGTGTGTCTAGTCGGAGTAAAGGTCACGTGGACGCGACACGAGGATCACCGCCAGTGGGCTGAGTACCTTGAGTTGCTAATCATCCAGGCGTGGAGAACGGGAGTGGAGGGCGATCTACTCGGATTCCTCTTCGGATCAGTGCGGCCCGACCATCGCCAACTGATCGTGCAAGAGCTAACGGTCCCCCTTGCGCAGCTGGCCGACGACCTCCCACTTGAGATCATCTCACAGAGCGACAACAGCCCAGTCCCGCACGTTCTCACGCGGACCTTGGCGCCATATCTTCAGTGGTCGACATGCTTGGAGGAACTGGGAAGCGGCTGCAACCCACCGTCATAGCGCGATTATCTGAGCCCGTACGAAATAGTTGATCTCGCCTTCTTTCAAGATCGAACGGCTTCCGAGAATGAAGAGGTAGAGATTGAAGAAGAGGAGGAAAGCTCGGAGGAAGAAGAAGAAAAAGTTGAAGAAGAGGACGCAGAGGAAGAGACTCCGGAAGAGGGGAGTTACAGTGAGCACAACGAAGGGGAACAAAGCCCGGAAGAAGAGGAGGAGGAAGAAGAAGATCAGGAGGAGCTAGACGAGTCAGAGTGGGAAGGATTTGAGGAGGAGGTGCGTACGGAGGCTCAAGCACAGGCCCAAGCGCAGAAGAGGGAGGAAATCGCGGCCGAAAAGCGACAACTGGAATTCGCCAGCGCAGCCAATCAGCAGCTCGCCGACAATCCGGCCTGGGATCCAGAGCCGCCTAAGCCCGAGGATGAGGACCCAACTGCCGAGACTTCGGCTGCACCAGCAAGGCGACGACGAAGCCGATCCCCCTCCCCCTCCACCTCAGCCCGTCCCCCAATTCGTCCCCGTACTGATGCGGGGCATCAGGCTTCGTCCCCGGTCGTTATCCCGCCGTCCCCTTGACCACCTCTCTTTTCGTCAAATTACCACTCGCGTTACCTTCCCCAACAATCCCTTCCCCATCGATACCTTCCGCTTTTTTTACATTACCCGCCTCGCTGTCACTGTTCATCCCCACCCTTCCACCCGATGCGCCCTCCCTGTCTTCTGCCTCCATATCCTTCTCCTTAGTGTCGCGTGGCGAGGCCACAATATGATCGAGGTATACTGCATGATTACGGGGACTATCCCCGCATGCGAGAACCACGATCACTTTCGCGCAGCACTTTTCCGAACCTTTACCACCCTCTACCCCGATTACCTCGCATCCCTCTCTCACACTGGCAACCGATTCCCCTGCTTTCACCGGATCGTTCGCTATCAGGAACTCCCGGTGACGGTGGCCGGAATGGAGAGCTTCCTTCCCCCGCTACCAATCAACCCTCCCCCTCGCCATCCCTCCTTGTACCATCTCCCTTTTCCCCTCCCTGGCGCTCGCTGATGTATGACTGATGGGCACGCATCATGACGACGACACGTGTAATCCCCTCCTTGGATTGTCGATGGCCCTCCCTGAGGAATTAGTAGTAAAGCTGTGTTTGCCACGTTGGACGACGTCCACACTCATTCGAACGGTAAGTGGCATAGAGAGAAGAGCTCCGCGTGTCGATCGATTAGAGAAATCGACACGTGTCAACAAGCAAGCAGGAGCTTGCTAGTATTGGAACCCCCTGGGCGTCACATATGTGACGAACCACTTTCTGTAGCGTGTGACTTTCTGCGCGATTGCAATGAGGGGTCCTAAGCTGGGAAGGTTAGGCCAACTACGGGAGATTGGGATCGGTGGGAAATTGCATCAGTACCCTCGCTTCTTCGTCTTTTGCGTCAATTCTTTTCTGATGGCTGAGTTCGGAGTTGGGTGTGTCTCGGGACGGGCGATTGATTGGTCGGGTGGATGGCTGGCGTGCTGACCGAGCGCGCAAATAATAAATGTTGACGTCACTTCTTGCTTGTTCTGTTGTGAGCAAGGGAGGAACTTTTAGGCGCGGACATCGCGCGGGAATTTTCCTTCGTTCTTTTTGAATTTTCTTTTTCAAATTCTTTTTCGAATCGTGTCGATCCCTGATGGCTCTCGGAATTTCGGACTTTCTTTTCGGAACTTGTGCTTTTCGCTTTTTTGCATTAGATAGGAATTTACGAATTTTTGTAATTAGGATTTTCTTTTGCCGCACGGCGCCTTTTTGCTTACGCGCTCCTTATGCGGCTGCAACAGAACTCTGATTAGTCGGCGCCTTTAATCGGGTGTGTAAGTGTAATTTTGGGTTGGTGCCATTGTAATTGTATCTTTCTTCTTGTGCTTCGCCCTTCCGGCCCTTCTTCTCTTTCTTTTGTTGTGTTCTTGGTAGCCACGGTCTGCATGATCGGAATGATGAGTGGAGAGCAGCTACGTCCCCCACGCCGCGTTCTGGCCATGCAGACGTAGGCAATCCCTCCCCCGTCCCTCCTTCTAAGTCCTTGTAATTCTGTGTTCTTCGCGCATGCATGCACGCTATAAATTCCGGTTGCTCGATTAGTTAGCTCTCTTAACCAGCTATTGGAAGCTTGGGGTTGCGCGATCAGAGAGGGTCGGCACACAAGCGAAGTAAGAGGTGAGTAAAGTAGGAGTCGGGCGGCCCGACGAGCTGGTGCCAAACGCGCGGGGTTGACGCGGGCCACGACGGACTGTGGGCGTGGGCGAACCTGACGGGTGCGGGAGGACTAAGCGGGGTGACGGCGTCGTGGGTTGGTGTGCGACGACGGACTGTCCGCATCGGAGAGAGAGAGAGAGGAAGAGAGAGTTGAGGGTGATGGACGCGGATTTGCTGTTTCTTTTATCTTTTCCCCCTCCCTGCTTGTGTATATAAGTTTTGATTGCGGCTCAGGGCGATTTGCCCATTTCTGTTTTTCGGAATCTGGACTTGGGTTTTTGCTCACACTTGTCTTTGCGATTTCCATCTCAGATATATTGTGTGTGTGTGTTGCTAAATGAATGGATGAATGGATGTTGCGTCTGTTTGCTGATTCTTATGCCCGATCCTTGCCTTTGTTTCTCATCTTGATGAACTCGTATGAAGGGTAGGAATTTTGCATAGTCATCAATGTTGTTTCCATTTTTGCTTATCTTTTGATTGAGCTGTTGTGGTTGTTGCATCTTGCATGCTCGAAAAGTACGGAGTGATTAGACGATCCAATGACTGCTGCCCCGCGAACGCCGCGCGAGGACACGTGTAAACACGATCCGATCTGCGCATTTACACATGTCCCAGTGCGCCGATTCGTCAACTCCAGAAAGGACCATTGATTGCAGGAATACCGCTTGATTCGATACGGCCATCCGGGGTCTGCGACGGAGCAATCATCCCGTGCGAACACGCGTAAGCGTGACTCGATTTGCCCGGCCTGCACGTGCTCACACGCAGTGATCGCAATCGGCACAGACCCGCCCCCAGGCATCTCGCAGTTCTGCGATGACATAAGGACATGCTCCGAGAGCTCACTCAGAGTCGTTGTTGTACGACCCGGAATACTTCACCCCGTGGATAGAAGAAAGCCTCCGATTGGGATTCCCTTGCCTAACGGAAAATCGACTATGTCCTAGGGAGTTTCACTGTGCCACGACCAGCGACCCCCGGTGTTCTGATTTCCCCACTTAAGACCACACCTACTACACCTCCCCCGGATTTGTCGTTATCTCCACTAGCTTCCCTCCTTTTCGTCTTCTTTTTCCGTATCATCAGCTCAGCGTCGTTCCGTGGAAGGCCATAGCCCCATACTGGCCCAACACGCCCTGCGAAAATTGCCGACGACGCGGCGGCCAGAGAACCCCGGAAGCGCGAAGGCCTAACCTGAACGCACGACGACCGGCGCCCCGTGGCAACTTCCGACGGCCCGACTCATCAGGACCACATCCACCGCGGATGATCCACCCCGGATGGACCTCTCGACGAACCGCCGCCCTCAACACAGATGGATCACGTGGCCATAAATGACCTGCGCAGGCCATCTGCCTTATTACGAGAAGTGGTCCGCCCTCTCTGCCAAATTGCACCCGTGCCCCCGAAAAACTCCGCCACAGGAGATCTCAGTTCTGACCTGGGACTCCACCCCCACTTTCCCAAAAATCCTTGGCACACCCCTTTTCGCACTTCCAGGCCCACACTCTGCTCCGATCAGGAAGTCGCGATGGGCGTGAGGTTGGGCGTCACAGCAATCCTTGCGCTCTTTTTTGCCTTTACGCTGACCTTGCTGGTGCTCTAGGATTGCTTTACGAATAGATGCGTATTCCATCCCTTAGTGCCCTTCTTGGAGGTTTGATTACCCTAGCTATGGGCTTCTACCTAGGTATTTTTGGTTATCCTTTTTAAACATGACTATTCTGACACATACGCACTATGGAGAAGTTCAGCCTCCAATTGGAGAACAGTTTTTTGTCACCGTTTACTTGAATGGTTTTCAGCCCCCTCCTGCTTCAGCCAACTGAATCTCCCAATTGCAGTAGTTTGTTATCATTACGATGACTGGTTCTTAGTGTTTTAGTCCTGAGTATATGATTTCTGTTTTTAGGAGATGACAATCTCGCTGAGTTTTGGATTACGGAACTATTTGTTGGACCAGTTCTCTCGACTGATTCTGTTCAAAGGATTTTCTAGCTTTGAACATTTCACGAGACCTCTTGCTTTAATGCTGGATTAATGGCAGTTGTGTAGTCGAGTTATTTGTAAGTTACGCATCCTCGCTATTCGGATCGAAGTGAGATCGGGCTCAATACGAATCTATCTATTGAAAGTTTTTCGAGTTCCAACATTATCAACTTTCGTTCTAGCTTTCAAGTGTCGATGCTATGTGTGTGAGGTTCGACGGATTTTCAGGCTCCTAAAGGTTATCCCAAACTTCGGATGTGTCCACTCTTTCATGATGCTGCTATCCTGAGTTTTCACGAGGTTGAGGATCACTTTCTATCTTCGAAGATTTGGAATTCTTGTTGCGTTAAAATTACATCGAAGGAATTCTATCTTTTGAGCATGCAAATTCCACTCGTAATTTCTTTTGATAAAACTACTAAAAAGGAGTGAGCGAGTGATTTTTTTATGAAAGACTTGGATTAGTTCCTTTGTCTCTCCCGTCTTAGTCTCTTCTCTGCCGAATCCAAGGAAATTTCACCCTCTCTTGGAAAATGGATTTTTCAGAGGACCTCTTCCGGTCATAATTCTTTTATTCTGTCTATAATGACAGAGTTTTCATAGAATTCATCCTTCCAAAAAAAGGATGCAATAACTCCATGGAATTAATTTCCCTTTTTAGTCTGCATAAAGGTTTTCATATTCGATCTTCCGTGTGGAATGGTTTGTGAATACCCCTGATGTGAGGATGCCTGCTATGTGATGTGAGCGAACTATTCTGTAAGATGAACAAGCAACTGTGTTCTCGGCCTGGTTGTACATTTAGTACTATGCGTAGAAATTTCTAATTTATGGTATCCCGTGCTCATCTCTCAAAAAAAATCCCTCTCTCCTTACCCCTATTTCTTCCCCTCTCATCTACGTCGTGCGATGGATGCTTCAAACAAGTGGACGAACCCCATGTGTTCTATAGGTTGAACCGTTGAAAGGCTCTGTTTATCTTTTTCCATGGCAATGGTTTGATCTGAGGATAGATGAATTTTGGGCTTCTCCGAGCAAATCGGCGTGATTCAGTCAGCTCGTGGATGGCAATCGCATGCATGATGGCTTTATTCTAATATCCAACTATGTTTGCATTCGTCGCGACGTGCTTCGTATCCAACTCAGCTTGCTTCGACTTTATGTCGTTGTGGACTCATCTCTACTTACACACACACACACACACACACACACACAGGCACAGAGGCACACACTAACCCTAGCCTGACCCCTTTTTTTCTTTTAAATTATTTGTTTTCAATTTTTGCATCTTAATTCTTTTTGAACACCCAATTTCTCGACACAAACCCGAAAAACATTTCTCAAAAAATACAGGACAACTCAGCGACCATGTCCCTCGTTAAAAAAAAAATGACAAAAAAAATTCT